GTTTGATTTATGGCATCTGGAAGCATCAGCTTCCAAAGCTTGATAGCAGTGTCCAGATTTCCTAAAGCTGTCACTCCTGGCTGTGAGAGCAGGGGCTTGCCAAAAATAGCACACACTGGAAACATGGCGGCTTGCTGCAAATGCTGCTTTCCTCCGATGGTGGAACAAAAAAATCCTTTTTCTGGTAAWGAATACTTATTATATGCATACAAGCCTTAACATAAAAGGTAATGAGGTAAGTTCGTTGAGAATTAGGAACACCTTAGATCATCCACATCAACACTAAGAGGTACTGGAAGATGTACCGAAACCTTTTCTCTGGGGTTCCTCCAGCACGTACATCTGAGGCCTTACAAGATGCTGGAAAGTCTCCTTGCAAGCACTAGTTAGCATTTAAATCTTGGCTTAATCTCGGATTCAKCCAAGGTCATGCGGTAAACCAGGATAAGATCCATGCYCTCCTGCCCGAATTATAACTTCCTTCATCCATAAAGTCATACCAAGGGAACCACCTGGAGCTGCTACTCAGGTCCGGACCGTGCGAGCACTCAGCACTGCCCCTCAATCCGCAGCTACAACCCACCACTGAGCGGGAACACTTGGAGCTTTGGGTGGGCTCCTCCCCGGCCCCACCTGCCCAAAACAAAACCCCAAAAGCAGAGATCGAAAAAGCCTCCGAGCCTAGAAATCCGAGAACAAAGCTCGCACCGCACACCTCGCCTCGCACAATGCGGGCCAGCGAGCAGCCGATCCCCCGCCGCCCCCCCCCGCCTTGCCCCGCACCGCTCCCGCCGGGAGCTCCGAGAGCGCCGCGGCACCGGGCGGTCTGAGGAAGGCTCCGGAGCCTCATGGGGGCTGCGCGGCCGCGGGTCAGGCAGGAGGGCGCCCGCCACAACGCGCCGCGGGGACCAGGCGGGCCCCACGCCGGGCGGGATGGAGATGAAGGGGAGGGGAGGGGAGGCGCCGGCAGCGCCGTCCCGCACGGCCCGCGGCCTACTGAGCGCCGGGGGCGCCTCGGAGCTGAGGCGGTGCGTGCGGCCCGCGGCCCCCGCGGGAAGGCGCGGCCGCGCCGGTGTTTCCCCCCGTGCCCCCCAACCCCCTCACCTGCGGGCGGAGCGGGACGGGAGCGGAGGCGCCGCTTCACCACAAGGCCCGGCGGACGAAAAGCGCCTCACGCAGCGGCGTGCTCTGCCGCCGGCTACATATATCCGGCGCGCAGCCTACCCCGGCGGGAGYGGTCCAGCCAATCACAGAGCGCCGCTCGCCCCCATTCGGATGCTGGTTGGCYCACAGCCGCAAGGAGGCGGCCCCAGAGATGAGGTGCAGCTCAGCCAGCCAATCACGCGGCAGCGCTCTGCGGGGCGGGGAGAGTGACTGACACACCAGCGAACCAATGGGCGGTGAGCGACGCCTGATGGATTTGCCCTTCAGCCAATGGGACGACGCTCCCGGCGCCAGCAGGCGCGCAGGGCGGCGCGCGCCGGMCGCCGCAGTGTGGTTGAGCCGCACTGCAGCGCCCTTGATAAAGTGCTGGTAAACCCCGTTATRGATCGGGGCGGGCCCCACGGGGCGYAGCGGCCAATGGGAGGGCRCGGCGGGCGTTGACGGACAGGTCACCGCCGGGGCTCTTAAAGGGGCAGGCGGCCTTCACGCGGGGCGGCGTCCCACGCTCCGCAGCGCCCCCTGCTGGAGGGAGAGGGATCGCCATCAACATGGCGGCGGCCGCCATGTGCGGGGCTGAGGGGGCACCCAGGGCCCGGCCCACACGGGCTGCGAACCCCCGGCAGTAAACAGGCTTCCGTTTTGGCTGCTCACACCAAGGTGCCTCCACCAGACACAGCCTGGGCCGCTCACACGATGCRGAAGGTGGTGGTCACCGACCTCTGACCATCCCGGCACGCACATCCAGCTGATTTTCCCTCAGTTCTGAGGAAAGCAGACAAAGCATCATCTGTCCCAGAGGAAAGACAATCCAAGCAACAGCATTTTCTAATACACCTTGCGATGGCCAAGTACAAAGAAGGAGAAAGGCCTGGAAGTTCTCAGATCCCTGCTCAGCAGTAGGTGCTGGTCCAGGGAAAGCAGGAGGGAGTGGGAGCGGGCAGTGAGCCAGAGCTAAGCAGCTTCCAGTCAGCCATAGCTTTCCATTTGTTTGTGTCACATCCCATCCCACATGTATCTATGACAYGAAGCACTYAGAGATAAATTCCACCCTATAAAAATGACTTCCTGCCCACCACCACGTCCCTGAGCGCCGCCTAACCCCCTCCCTGCCATGCCTTGCAGCAAGAGATACAGACAGTGGATTGGCATGGGGCCACGCTCACCATTAATATCCTCCCCCAATACCTCMGGGTTATTTTTAGCCTAAGCCACGCTGCAATCTGCCAGTTCATAAATCAGCACTGCAGACTTCTACAAAGTTTAACGTGAGCCCAGTGACCCAGCACAACAGCCCGTCCCAAATAAACGCTGCCAGGGGGATCCTGTCCATCTCTCCGCAGAGTCGGGCAGGTAATTCCTCTTTTATAGAAGTATCAATACAGCAGCAGCATCATGTGCCCCTTAACATGGGTGCCCTCACCCCCCGCTGGTGTGGCAGCAAACATGAAACACTGGTTATTTTCCCTGCTACAGGGAAGATGCTGAAATGCAGCACGTGGTGAGAAGCGTCTCACACACCACAGCTCTGCCAGCTCCTCTCAGCCTGGATGTGATGCACTGTCCCCTCTCCAGAGTCTCTGTGAGACCACCTAAACTGCTTCCAGCCCCTGTTACAGCCTCCTCCACCTCGACTCAAGTTTTTTTCAGAGACGGATTTATTTTCCTTCAAAGGGCCATACAGAATGGGGAGGGGGAAAAAGCAAACAAAAACCAACCAAAACCTCTAAAGAAAGCAGATACATCTTCAGGGACCAGCATTCTTCTTCTCAACCTGCTCTGCAGTGGAGAYTCCCCCTAAACCACCCTCCCTCCATATCCAGTCTACCGGAGCTCTCCCAAGCTAATAAATCTCAAAAATCTCAAAAGGCAGAGAGGAACGAGTTTTCCGAAGCAGCCCGGCCTCATCCTCATGGCTCTCCCCCCTCCCTYCCACAGCCAGCTGCCCGTGCTGATCCTTATCCTGGAGGCGGGCAGATCACTCCGGCAGGCTTTTGGACCTCCACATGGACCAGTCCCCATCCAAACGCTCTCCAGTGCTTTTTCCTTCCACCCTCCGCGGCATCCCCGCCTCCCGAGGCCGCGGCCGCGCTGTGGGGCCGGGCATGGCCCGCCCCTTCCTCCGCGCCGCCATCGGGGATCCGGGACCGCCGCTCCGCCATGCCGGTGGGTGCGGGCCGGGCAGCGGGCCCGGGGGGCTCTGTGGGGCTCTGTGGGGCTCTGTGGGCTCTGTGGAGCTCTGTGGGCTCCCTGGGGCTCCCTGGGGCTCTCTGGGGCTCCCTGGGGCTTCTGTGGGGCTCTGTGGGCTCTGTGGGCTCTAAGGGGCTCTGTGGGTTCTGTGGGGCTCTGTGGGTTCTGTGGGGCTCTGTGGGTTCTGTGGGGCTCTGTGGGCTCTGTGGGCTCTGTGGGCTCTGTGTAGCTCTGTGGGGCTCTGTGGGGCTCTGTGGGCTCTGTGGGCTCTCTGGGGCTCTCTGGGGCTCTCTGGGGCTCTGTGGGGCTCTGTGGGCTCTGTGGGGCTGTGTGGAGCTCTGTGGGGCTCTGTGGGCTCTGTGGGGCTCTCTGGGGCTCTGTGGGCTCTGTGGATCTCTTTGGGCTCTCTGGGGCTCTGTGGGCTCTGTGGGGCTCTGTGGGCTCTATTGGGGCTCTGTGGAGCTCTGTGGGGTTCTGTGGGGCTCTGTGGGGCTCTGTGGAGCTCTGTGGAGCTCTGTGGGTTCTGTGGAGCTCTGTGGGCTCTGTGGGGCTCTGTGAGCTCTCTGGGGCTCTCTGGGCTCTGTGGGGCTCTGTGAGCTCTGTGGGGCTCTCTGGGCTCTCTGTGGGCTCTCTGGGGCTCTCTGGAGCTCTGTGGGGCTCTGTGGGGCTCTGTGGAGCTCTGTGGGTTCTGTGGAGCTCTCTGGGCTCTCTGGGGCTCTCTGGGGCTCTCTGGGCTCTCTGGAGCTCTGTGGGCTCTCTGGGGCTCTCTGGGGCTCTGTGGGGTTGGGGGATGTGGCGGGACGGCGGGGCAGGGAGGGCACTGCCCGGTACCGGGAGCAGCCGCGGGGCTCCCGCAGCACCCGGGGCTCCTCCAGCCCCCCGGGGCTCCCCCAGTTCCCCGAACTCTCTGAGGCTCCCCCAGCCCTCTGAAGCTTCCCCAGCCCCCCGAGATTTCCCCAGATCCCGCAGTTCCCCCAAACCCTAAAGCTCCCCCAGACCCCCAGGCCTTTCCCAGTCCCGAATTCCCCCAAAGCTCAGGGCCCCCCCAGCTCTCAGGGCTCGGATGCAGAAGGGGAGCGGTGATGGGACCCTCCTTCCCCACTGCCCACACACCTCTCCAAAGCATACAGGATCTTTGGGAAATGAAAGGGAAGAAAAAGTCAACTACACTGAAAAAAAAATGGATGGGAACCTCCATCCCAGGCTCCTTCCCAAGAGGGTTTTAGCCTCGCAGTGGCAGGGGAAACAGGGTGGTTCTGAATAGAAGGAAATACGGCTTGCAGGCAACAATTGAAAAATCGCTTTACTTTTTTGAGGAAAGTAAAAAGAAGGAAATATGCAAGAAGAMGGAAATTAGGGCCCGTATGGTGCAAAAGGTTGATGGCAGTGGTTATATTACAGGCAAACAGTGTTTTGTTGACCCAGTATTGCTCACAACTAGTGAAGATATCGCTGGGGCCCCAGTGGAGTGGAGGGATGAAAAAACAGCACTAATGCTCCTTTAAATTTCTGTGGTTTTTATATTTTTGTTATGTTGGGAACCAGAAGCCTTGTAGACACAAGAAGAATAGCATGGGGAAGCACTGAAAACCTCACAACTTAAGCCAGGACAGAGTAGCTGGAGTCAGATTTGCTTTTCCTGGGTTCCCCTGAGAAAGCTGAGTGAGTCCAGCAGAGGCCATGGAGTTGGCAACTTGTGCTGACTTGGAAGTAGCCAGACAATCTCCCAAGGTCCCTCATGATTGTGCTCTGACAGCACAAGAAAACTGTAGGGAGGAGTAGCAAGAGCCCTTGGTTTTGCTGAGGATACCTTGTGTATGGCCCTTTTGTCTTGGGAGGCTTTGAATCCACCTTCCCAAGGAAAAGAGAAAGTGTGGAGTGCTCACAGTGTGTTTCCAGCTGTGCTCTCCCTGACCCCTCAACTGCCTCTTTTCTTTTCAGAAACACGAGTTCTTCGTGGACATGACCTGTGAAGGCTGTTCCAACGCGGTCACCCGTGTCCTGCACAGGCTGGGAGGTGAGTCARTGCTGGGTGTGGGACAGCCAGCTCTGGGGCAGTGCCCTGTGGTCCTCCATCCTGAAGAATAATGCTATGGGTAAAAGCTGAATATTGGAAACTTCTCCTTACTCTGCTCTGCTCCTTAGTTGGTAACAAGTCACTGGTTGTTTGCAGGTCTATGACCCTTGGAGAAATGTCAAGGGAGGGAGGAGCTGCCGTGGCTGCAGGTGGCTCTGAGTCACCAGGACCTCACCCTGAATCCTCTGGCAAGGACATTGGTAGACCCCTGCTCAAACTGCCAGAAGGAAGGGAGGTGGATGTCCTGCYTGGCCTTGTTTCCAAGGTAGCCTGGGGTATCTGTGGTGCTTCCCTAGATGTRTCATCAGTAGTCACAGTGAGGAGCTGCTGAGCAGCACATTTGGTGGTTGTGTAGCCTATTTTTTAATACCACCTGGAAAATTATAACCCATGTTTCCTGTTTGCTGGCATTTCCAAGAGAGAAAGTTCTGGCCTGTACTCACCAGTTGGGAGGACCTGCTCCACTCYGAGGGAGAACAGTTTGCAATCACCAAGGCAAAGGCCTTCCAACCTCTTCCAGACCCCATTACCAGGCTGTGACAATCCCACTTTGTGTAGTTGTCAGCACCTCCATCACTCTTCAACAGGCTGGCCAATTCCAGCCTCATGTGATGATGTGGCAGAGCTCTCAAAGCTGCCACAGTTTTTTGAAAATATGTGACTGGATAGAGACATTGTGTCCAGTTCCTTTCACTGGGCTGAGAGTGGCTCACCTTTATTAAACACTGGGAAATCCACATGGTAAAATGTCTTTTCCCTCCTTCTTCTTAGAGCTATTAGGTGGTACTGCCAGCTTAGGAGATCTGTCCTGACCCTATCCATGCTAAACCACAGCACAAGCTGAGCTGAGTGGAGATTGTAGTGGTTGGTTTAAACTCAGCTTACCCTGGTTCCTGCATAAATGATTGTGTTGATCCAAGGTGGGGTGGGCAGATTAAAGCAGTTGAGAGGCTGTAGTGCTTGATGTAGATTAGAGCAGAGCTGGCTTCCTCCATACCACTGCTGGCAGGGCACCAGTTTGGTTTTGCTGGCTGCTGGTGCTGTTCCTGGCAGGAGATAAATGTCAGTTTGACTGATGGCCTGGAAAGCACAGATGTATGAAGGTGAGYTTTCCCTGTGCTTAGGCCATTTGACTGCTTCCAACTATGCAAATTTTTTTTCCTCATAGGTGTCAACTTTGACATTGACCTGCCCAACAAGAAAGTGTGTATTGATTCAGAGCACAACGTTGACACCCTGTTGGAAACCCTCAAGAAAACKGGAAAGAACGCTTCCTACCTTGGGGAGAAGTCTGCACAGTAGCCTTGCCTGGTGTGAGGAGCTAGGTATATATCAACTGTATCCAGAGTGGAAGAGARACATCTGAGTTTTTCCAGATCTCCCAGTAAAACAGGCTTCTTCCTGGAAAGCACCAATTTAAAAAGACCTGCAGATCCAGCTTCAATAAACYCCTCATAGCAGAGAAGCAGCTGGAGCACACACAGGAACTCCATAGCAATTCTGCAAAGCCCATGTAATCCCAGCCTTGGGCCATAGTGGAGAGGTAGAACACAGCCTCTGTGCCATTGCCTGGTGAACCTAGAGTTTGCCAGAGCATATTGTGCATGAAAAGAAATCCCAAACACATTTAACAGCTGGCCAGAGAGGGTGGTGGGCCTTAGCAATAACAGTGAGGGTGATGGGACACAAAGACCCCTGTAGGTTTGTGATGCTGTGGGTTGGTTCTTAGCACAGGGACCTCCAACAGCTGATTCTCTTGATAACCCTGTTAATTGCTAAACTCAAGGATGGAAAAAAACAGCAGTTCCCTGGCACTATTCTGGATGTGAAATGTTTGGTTTCAGAATAACTCCCAGTATGCATAGTCACTGGTCAACTGTCTACCCCAGTGACAATCTGATCCTTGCAGCCTGTCAATTTTCCCAGAATTCCAGGACTATGAAGACATGTACAAACCTCTCCTGACTGTGAAATATATTGGCAGACAAGGTTCMATTTCAGTGGAAAAGAATAAAGTGGGAGAGGGCTGCCCACTCACTTCATGTATTGTTCTTTAGTGTGCAAAATTATTACATTGCATCTCCTAAGAATTTGTTTCTGTCAGAGGAGCTTTCTGATCTGATGACAGTTTTTTAAATGGTCTGGTTGGATCATCACAAATACCCAGCACAGATGCACTGAAACCAGTTCATGCTGATTTAATTCCCAGTCTGTAAATTAAATCAGGGATTTATACCAGCAGGAATTAAACTGATACAAGAAAGAGCTGAGCTGATAGTGATGTGTGTGCAATAGATCTGCATTGTTTAATAGACTGACAACAGATTTAAAATCTGCAGTTTGTATCATTTCAGCAAGCTCTCAGTGCTTCTTAAAAATTGTTTAAAATCATAGCTGTAATCAAATAACAGCCCCACTTCAACAGACAGAGGCATGCTCTGAATTGATTAGTGCCTTGAATATTTTTCAGCCCCTAGTATTGACTGCAAGGGCTGTTACAACCTGCAGGGATTTGTGGACTGTGTGCCAAGTGCCTGTAGAATTTAACTATTACAGCAAAGCCAGCCTCAAATAACAGGGATGTGTCTTTTCCTGGCCCAGTTTTCCCACTTCTTTCCTTATATTACATCAAGGCAGGCAGTGAGTCAGTTCAGCTGGCCAACGTGGCAGAACATTTCTCTGGATGCCTTTGTTTTCTTGTTGGATTTTAACTGAAGCCCTTTGACTTACCCAAAGATTGTAAGATGCAAAACAAAGGAGGGAGGGGGCTGGACTGCCGTTGCATGTAGTTTCCTGCCATATCACTTTAGCAGTCAGGCTAAAAATCCTCTAAATTTAAATTTTGCACAGCACATAGGGAATATTTTTAGGGTTTTTTTCTATAAAAGGAGGGAGGGAAGTTGCAAATCCTTGGCTCTGGTGGGTGGAATTCCTTTGGCTCGTGACCGGCAGAGGGCATCTCTGTATAATGTTGTCTCCTCTTAGCCTTGGTATTTTTTCTCCTTTATTTATTTAATTAATTATTATTTATTTTGCAGGAACTCAAACATTACTTCAGCAAAAAGATGGCTTAACTGTTTGCATGTCTCCCAACTTGCTGTGTCTTTTGACCTTTGCCAGATGCTGGAAAGCACAGGGCTGGAGGGAAGAGACAGCTGGGCSTTGAGCTTTAGAAATGGAGAGTTGRAGAGGAGGAGGTTATGTGGTGTTTCTAGTCCCCCAGTAAATCAAGGCACTGCTTTTAACTTTCAGTGCATGTCTGTGTGTCCTGTGTGTCTTTGTAYTGCTTTGAGTGGTTCCTTGTAAAAGTCTCCCAGGAAATCGCACCTATCCTTAGAAGTTGACTGCAGCCTCTGCCTGCRGAACACATCTCAGGAGAGCTGTGCTTGAATGTCACTTAGCTTCAGGGAATCTGTGTCTTGGCAGTTGTTTCTCCATCACAGAACAGACAAACTTTCCATTTGGGATGCARGTTCTGGGAAAAAGGGACATTGGCAGCCCCTCTAAGTCAAGGRTAACCAAGTGTCTTTTTGAGGCCTTGAGGCACAAGTGTGAACAGAGAATGCCTGAGCTGATGGGAAATACAGAGGGGATGGAGGAAGGAGAAGGGTGTGAGAGTGTCCAAGGTCTCTTATTTCCTGGCTCAGTGACCACTGTTCTGGCCTGCACTGTTGCTTTCATGTAATTCAGGTTTTCAGCCCAGTGGAGAGATTGCTTGTGTGTGTCCCAGTCTGCTGTCTCTCATTTCACCTGGGGGATGTTTCCCATCCCTACCGGTCACATGGGGCTTGTTCTACATAAAGAAAAACCAACTAAGGTTTGGAGGAAAAGGTTACTCTATATTTTAGAGATTTTTTGTGCTTGTGCATTTGAGTTTACATTTGACATAATTGCAATTTATTTTTTCCTGAAGTAGTTTACTGCTTCAAAGTCCTTTTTTACCTTTGATCCAAAACATGATTAATTGCTGTAGATTCACTTGCAGGGGGCTAGACAGGGACTTCAAGAAATGTGTTGCAGACACTTTTTATTACAGTTTAATTTAAGGGAATCTAAAGGCTACAAGTGTAACTTGTCACTGTTTCATTCTCTTGCATTAAAAGTCTCCCAGGGGCAGGAAGTTTCCAGAGCCAAGACTCAGAACCACTGTCTATTTCTGCTTTGTGACCATGCACTCAGATGTCCAGTGTGACCACTCCAGAGTCCTGGGGAGTGAGTGAATCCCATTCTCTAGATGTCCTTGCTGCTCTGAGCTGGTGTTTGCCAATCTCAGTTATTATTTGAGTCACTACCTGAGCAGAGTTTCTTTGTTCCACCACTGCCCAACTGCAAGATCTTCAAAAGCTTCATTGATCAGGTTAGCCTGAACTTGACTGCATCTCATGGAGAGGGACCCTAACCACCCCACACAGATAATGCGGCCACAGTATTTTCCACAGGAAACAATATGCCAGACACTGAGGCTGTGAGGCTGTTTTCAGACAAGGAAATGCTCCGTTGCAATGCAAACAGGAAAGGGTGGCTCTTGGAAAAGAAGCTCTCCTATACCACAGACCTGGCTCTGCAGGACATGCCAGTGACCTGCTGGAAGAGTGATGTGTCAGCAGGACGAGCAACTGGTGAGGCCCACAGTGCACTGCCATCCTTGAATATGTCATCCCAGCAGCAGGGAGACTTCACTTCTGGTTTCTTTTTTTCTTTTTTTTCTTTTTTCATCCTTCACTTCTGGTTTCTTCCCAAGGGTCTCAGCCCAGCTCCAGCTGAACTGTGAGAATCCACAAACTGCCTCTAGCTGTAGCACCAGTAAGAACTGGGCAAACCCTGTGGGACAGGCTTTAAAAGTTCCTTTGTTTCGCCTGCTTCAAAATTATCTTCCCTCCCCCCCACCTCCCCTCCACAGTGTTTCCAGCAGACAGCATTTGCTTTTCTCACCCATTTCTGTTGAGTTTGCTGTGCTTCTGGRTGTCATTTTTCACCCAGTGTTACCTTCTCCCGCTTTTTAAACAAAAATCTGATTTCAGTGGAAAAGTCTACAGCCTCCAAAGCCCAATCCTTTCTCCACAAAAGAAAAGCAGTGGTTATCCCGGGGCTGTCTTAAGCACCACTGGCTTTTGGGCTCTTTCTAATTACCTGATGACAGGCAGGGGATGAATTTAGCCAAAGGAGCAGTTGTACTCAGTCGAACCACCCAGTAAATGAGAGAATTTCCAAAATAGCATTGCAGGCTGCAGAAAGCAGGCAATGGACAGGAGATCCCCCTCCCTTCCTGCAAATGGTGATTCCTGGTGCCTTGAAGAGGTAAATAGCTGTGAAATTTCAGGGTGGGAAAGAAGGGTTTAGTTTGCAACAATCTCAGGAATTTCACAGGCGTGTCCTGTCTGGGTGTTAAGACAGTTACACGGGGGATTCATTCCCAAAAGAAGGGGATTTTCTAATCTTGTTCTGCTTTTAAATGTTTGTTGTTAGAAATAACCTGCCTCAGGCTTCCACCTTCGTTCCCCTGCCTGTTCCCAGCCCAGGCACAGCAGTGGGATAAGCACCGTGACTGGTGTTTGGCTTGTGGGCAGGATTATACCCCCACACTTTTGGGGTCAGCATGGGCAACATTGCCCTGACCAGCTGCTCTCTGAACTACAGCTGTGCAGCTGGAGCTGRAGGTTGCCCTGGGCTGGGTGTTCAAAGTCACAAGCATCACCTGAAATAGTGGAATATCTGTAAATAGTGTGGTCCCTCAGAGGGACTCAAGCTCCCAAACTGGCTGGAAAAAGCTCGGTGGTCTCTCTGAATTAACGTGCTGGTCTTGAATCTTTTAACAAGGTCTGCAAGGACCCAATCTGCCTCCTTGTGAGGCCACAGCTGAGGCCCTCCTGTGCTGGGTGATTTGCAGAGCTGTCCCAATGCAGCACTGACATACAGAGCAATATCAAAGGCCCTGGCTGGTTCCCAACTCTCTTGTTGATACATGCAGATTCCCTGTGTGACCATCACAGGCAGCTTTCCACAGTGCAGCTTCCAAAACAGCAACACACACAGGGACCCCTCCGAAACAGGAACACAGGGTTCTGACAGACTACCCCTCCAAGATTGTGGCAGCATAAATAGAAATAAAAAACCACCCAACAAATCAAACAAACAAAACAGGCTTAATTAAGGACTTCAAGAGCAGGAAATGTGCACACGTGTGCTTGCCAGAGCACAAATATTTTCTTTTGGAGCTGCTTTCTCCAAGGGTTCAGTRAGGTGATCAAGGCTGGGTTACAGAGCAAGGGTAGCAAACAGTTCCCAGCCCCTCCGGAAGGCAGCGGCCACAGGGCACTGCTGTTCTGCATCCTTCCCAATGCTCCAGCCTTTGGCTTTAGGCTCCCACAGTATATACTGAAGCTATTCAACCAGTTGGCTAAAAGCAGATGGGGAGGGAGAGAAAACAAAGTCAAACGAGAGGGAGAAAGGAAGCTTTTGTGCAGGCTCTGTTTGCAAAAGACAGCCCAAGCCCCTTTTGGACTGAGGTTTAATTTATTGGGCYCTGGAGAGCTGAGGTTCACAGCCCCACAGCTGCTGCAGGCGGTGACACTTTGGGGCAGCAATAGGGAACGGGTGGGAGCCAGCTCGGGTAAGTGAGGAGCTCCCTCAGAGGGGCTGTGGGATTCACGGGACACCATGCAAGATCCCTGGCTGCTCTGAGGGGAGCAGATCTGCCCTGTGACTCTTCTGCTACATGGGCCTGTCCCAGGTCACTGGAAGGGATGAGGGAAACTGGTCTGCATAGACGGGAGCCTTCAGCCTGGCCCTTCCTGCTATTGTCCCTCTGCTCATCATGCCTGTTCCTTGAGCACGTCCCAAAGCACTGCTGGGTGCTGCACAGCTGGGTTCACCTTTCCTCTTCACCAGTCCAGACTAGAGGGTTGCTGTCACTGGGGCAAGACACAGACAGAAGAGATCCTGCTGTTTTACAGACTTTTTCACAGTTCCCAGCTGGTATGAAATTCCCAGGGCAGGACCATCTCTCTGAACCATCTGAGATGTGCTCACCCATTTTYAGCAGATGGGTGACAAAACGTTAAWACAACAAACACAACTCATCCTCTTGTAAATGAAAGGAGACCCTTGAATGGAGCAGGAATCCACTGTGTGCAAGTACCCCCCTGTACCCTCCTGCAATTTCCCCCCCTCCGAAGCTTCTGCTGGGCACTGGGCAGAGCTTGGCCCACAGAAGCCGATGTCAGCAGGGTGCACAATGTCCGGCAATCACAACAGGGGCCAAGGGCTTAATCTGGTGTGCACAGCTTCAAAAAACTCAGCCCACACAGCTATTGTCAGGGTGATCCCACCGATTGCATCAGTAGTCTGCATGGGCACGGGGCTGTCTCCAGGGCTCAGGGCGGGTCCCAGGGGCATTGTAGGGAGCGGCCCTGGGGTCCCTGGAGCTGTACCCGGCTCAGGACAAGCCACAGCGCTGGCTTGTGCTGTGCTGCTCCACAAATGCAGCCTACAGTCCTTTGGATTCTACCTTGCCTTGGACTCTGCTGAGCTGCTTGGAGCTGGTTTTTATTATTGTAGATTATCCCCACCAAGGCGTGGGACAAAGGCAAAGAGTCTCCCTTGGGTGGAGAAAACCCTGATTTGCATCTCTGTTTCATTTTGGTTTTTCCTTCCCCTGCATCTGTCCAGTGTTACATGCTTGTGCCCTCCCAGGAGCAGCCAGCAAAGCAGGCAGCTCAGTGGGAACGATCCAATTTCCAGGGCAACTGGGACGGGACTGAGTCCAGAGTGTCCTCGTCTCACAGAGCCGCTCTTATTTCTCCAGTTTCCTCTCCGTTTGCTTTCTTAATTCAGCCTGTCCTTTGCCAGGCAAGAGGCAAAAAAAAAAAAAAAAAAAAAAGCAGAGATGTGGCACATCCAGAGTCCTCCCTGCTGGCTTTACAACTGCTGGGGGGTTTCTGGCTTTCCAGTTTCAGGAGCAGCCGTCCAATCTTGCCTTACCCCAAGGTCAAAATATGTCAAAGTATGGTCAAAGCAAGAGTATTGGAAGCCAGGAGGCCAGCTCTGGCTCTAAAGGCTCTGTGCTGAGCTTCTCACCGGGGATCCGTGTGCTGAAGACACAGACACAAATCCCAGTTATGGATCATCATCCTTTGCCACTAGTGCTGGTCACCTCTGCTATGAACAGCTGGAGATACAAGTCCTGGTGTGCCCAGAGGAAAACCAGAAACGTGGAGTTCAGAAATCATCTCAGCTGAGTGTGTCCGAACCC